AATGGCGCAAAAAAGACGGGGCAAAAAGACGGAGAAGCGCACGGGACAAGCGCTAACTGGCAACTAAATTGCCAGTTAGCGCACAAGCGGACGAGTGCGGAGCCCACTGCCCTGAAGAGGACGCAGTTGGCGCAAACGAGCGATCGCCGGTCTTCCCTCTCTCTCACGAGGGGCTGTCATCATGACCGAGTGTGGTCCCCAGCCACCTGGTATAGCTATATCCGGTATGAGCGACGAAAAAATAATGAAGCATTTCAACCTCCAAATAGGAAAAAAAAAAAAAAAAAAAAAAAAAAAAACAGAGGGGAGGCGAAAATTGGGTAACGGTTACGGTTATATCCTAAATGTATAGTCTATTGGCGTGGCGACGGCAAAACGATGTTTTCACCCATACTGGAAGTGACAATTTTTCAAGGTGACGGATGGTAAAGTTTGGCGTTAATCAATAGTAAAATACTCGATAAAAAAGCGAGAACGCGCGACAGTCTATCAGTGTCGTCGCGTGTGTACATGCAGTAGTGTACGCCGAGAAAGAGAGGGAGACGAAGAGACGAGAGGGGACGTTGGAACGCCGAACCTCGATTCGAAGGAATAGTAAGTAACCCTCAAGCTCCAGCAGGCTTTGTCCCCACTGCACTCGCCGAACGCGTTCGAACCCAAGAGCCAAACGCCGGACGCCGGTGTTCGGCGTTCGAACAGTGAAGAGACAAAGGCTGCTTGCTAGCTTCGCCTTTATCCACGAATCATTCGAACCAGAGCTCGGCCTTCTGGCGTCCCCTCTCGTCTCATCCTCTCCCTCTGTTCATAATAATAATAATCATATTCTTTATTTCCTATTACATGCAATGGGAAATAAAGTTTACACCCACATATGTCCAGCAGTCTTTCTGGGTCGGTGCGCGTGTATTTGCGTTTCGTTATTCTCGCGAGCCGACGCCGGGAATATATGCTGCTGCCGAGAGCGCGGACGCAGACGGCCGGGCGCGCCGCCAGCACGACCGAACTGCGACGTCCGGCCGCACGCCGCGTTAAATGAAAGAGTCTGCGCGAGAGCAGAGAGTGCTAATTCAATATCTTCCAGTGGAGCGCGTCGACTAATGGAAATCTATCGGCAGCACGGCACCCAAACCCCGCACGTGCGCCTCGTCGCCGTCTGGAGAGCGCGGCGAACACTGCACGAGTCTACCGAGGCTTGAGCCAATCCATGGCCTTCCACGTGATCTCGCGCTCCGTGTGTTTCCGTCTTGTCCCCCGAGTCACGTGATGGGCTCGGGCTGGACCAGAGCATCGCGGCGGTCCGGTTCGCGGTGCATCGGAGCGAGTACTGATGATATTCGCGTCCAGATGGATGGATGGATGCATGCATGGCAGAGCCGTATATAGGAAGTATTCACTGGCGGTCATAGCTGTGTGCGCGACTGCTGAGCGCGTGCTGATGGCGAGCTTCCACAGTTCTTTTGCAACGTGCATTCCGCACCATCCAAAGTGCCGGTCTTAGCAGCCTATTGATGTGAGCTCGTTCTCAGCATGCGCTCTAAACAGCACCCACAAATATGGCGCCCAGTGAATGCTCCTTATACAGAGAGTTTGGTCAATGGGAGGCGCGGGCAGAGCCAGGGCGTGCACCAGGCGCAGAAAGAGGGCTTGACATGCTCTCTTGGCCAACCAGAAACCTAAAAGTATCCCCTAGCGGTGGTAGCGAGAAACTGTTCTAATCAAAGGTATATGTCCGTATGTGGTTTTAGTAAGCACGTAAGAGTGAAGTGTAGTAACCCTTTGTGGATGAAAATATGGCGCACGTGATGTTTCGATCATGATAATGCAGAAAGATGTAAGAAACGAATGCGCCGCTCAACTCTGTTTTGCTCGGACAGAGTTTGACCGCTCGGACGGCAGATACCCGGCTCTCGGCGCTTAACGTACGGATTATGTCGATAGTTCCACTAGTCGCAGTCTTCCACCATGATTTTGGATGACCGTGATTGAAACATCACGTGCACCATATTTACAGTCACCGAGAGTTACTGCGATGCACTTATCAGGTTTGTTTCTCGCGACCACCTCAGGGTAATATTTCCGGCTTATGGTCGGTTGCATTCGAATTTCTGAAGACGCCCTGGAACACGGCCAGCCCGCTTTCGGCCAATGGCGCCTCCTCATTTGTTTCCTATACTTCCCAACGAATGGCCAAACTCTCTACATATACGGCTCTGATGCATGGCGGTTGTTCCCTTTACATCGGGCGGCGACTTGTGCCACCCCAAATGTTTGTTTTCTCACTTCAAATTAAAGTGTTTAAAGCAATTCAATCCGAGGTCGGAGGAGGCACGCTACGGCCGCAGCTTCATTCAGTGAGTCTACTGCCCTATTTATTTATTTATTTATTTAAAAGTTCCCTCAAGGCCCGAAGGCATTACAGAGGGGAGCGGGTTACATCAATAGAATTCAACAACATACAATGAATAACAACCTATGAATGTAAAACAATATGTACATATTAGTGAAACGCTGAAATGTGAACATTGTTAAGGCAATTTTTGAAAGCAACGCTGTCAGATATTGATACCACAGACGCTGGAAGGTGGTTCCACAACACTGTAGTTCGGGGTATGAATGAATTGTGAAAAGTAGTAGTGTTACATGAAGGTACGCCCATCTTGTGTCGGTGATCAAGACGCTGTGATATGTAAAAAGGAGGTGCTAATAACTTGTCACGCAAAGTATGATTGTGGTAGTAGATTTTGTGAAACAGGCACAAACGAAAAACTTCTCTACGCGATGCAAGATTAGGCAGGTTCAAACTTGATTTCATGGATGTTACGCTGGCAGTGCGGTGATAATTAGTAAGTATGAATCGGGCGGATCTATTTTGAATTGCTTCAACTGCAGATGTTAATACGTCAGTACCGGGGTCCCAAATTGAAGAGGCATATTCTAGTTTGGTGCGAACAAGTGTTTTGTAAAGAAGTAGTTTAAGTGATAAGGGAGCTGCTGAAAAATTTCGTTTTATGAAACCCAGCATACGATTGGCGTTACTTGTTACGTATTGAATATGAGTTTCCCAGGACAGATTGGATGAAATATGAACCCCCAAATATTTGTAGGTTGTTACTTGTTGTAAAGGAGTGTGGTTTAGGTAATAACAAGAGACATCACTCTGAAGCCGAGAAACCCTTATTACCTTACATTTGTTAGTGTTAAGCTGCATATGCCATAAGTCACACCATTCAGATACACGGTCAAGGTCACACTGAAGAGAAGAAACATCGGATTTGTTAGTCACTTCACGATATATAACACAGTCGTCAGCAAACAAGCTAATCGAAGATGAAACACAGGAGGGTAAGTCATTGACATATATAAGGAAAAGAAGAGGACCCAGTACAGACCCCTGCGGCACTCCGGACGTCACAGAAGCTGAAGGAGAAGACGTGTCATTCGCAAATACAAACTGAGACCGGTTAGTTAGGAAGGCGTGAATCCAAGATAGTGTAGCGGAATCAATACTGAGTTTGCTTAGCTTATGAAGTAGTAGACTATGTGATACCTTATCAAATGCTTTAGCGAAATCGAGGAATATGCAGTCAGCTTGGGAACTTCGATCAAGAATAAGGTGAAGGTCGTTAGTGAAGGTTAGTAGCTGGGTTTCACACGAAAATGACTTACGAAAACCGTGTTGGGCGGGAGAAAAGAAGTTATTAGACTCCAAAAAGTTTACTAAATGTGAAAAAATGACGTGCTCAAGAATTTTGCATGGGATGCTTGTTAGCGATATGGGACGGTAATTAGAAGGAGAATGTTGATCACCCGTTTTGTGTATCGGCACCACCTTTCCCACCTTCCAGTCGTCCGGCAAATACCCACAATTAAGAGACTGATTAAATAGTTTAGAAAGTATTATTGAAGAATATTCTTTGGTACTTTTTAGGAATTTTGAATTAATATCATCTACTCCCGCGGAACACGATATTTTTAAATTATCGATTACATTAACAATTCCACAAGCATCAATAGCGACCGGGTACATAGGAACAAATCCAGTATGTTGAAATGGAGGTAAAGATGACACGTTAACGTCTGAAAATGAAGCCACAAAGGCGGAGTTCAAAACAAGGGCACACTCACTAAAAGGCACAGCATTTCCAGAGGAACTAAACAATGATATTGACGATTTTTCATTTCGATTAATTACATTCCAAAACTGCTTTGGGTTGCTTGTTAAAAGTGATGGTAGAGTTACATTAAAATAAGTAGCCTTCGCATTTTCAATAGCACTTTTATAATTATTGGCTGCAATATGGTATGCAGACCATTTAGAATCAACATTTGAAAATTTAGCTGCTCGAAATTTTTGTTTTTTCTTGTTAGAAAGCCTTTTTAATGTGGTGTTAAACCATGGTGATTGCGGGTTAACGGAAATATTGCGCAAAGGTATATATGTATTAGTAAGATGCACAACCTGCGTTTTAAATAAATCCCAATTTTCCTGAATTGAGCGTTCCGAAAAGAGCGGCAAGTAATCATCAAGAAAAAAAGAAAGTTCACTGTTAATGGCCTCGAAGTTACCTTTAGCATAGTCGCGTATTTTTTTCTGAATCTTTGGAGCATTTCTAACAGGAACATCGATGACAAAATGTATTAATGAATGATCACTTATGCCCTGCATGGTGCTAATTGAAGATATTAAAGAAGATGACGTTGTTAAAATTAGATCCAATATGTTGGCTGTTGTATGGGTAATTCTAGTAGGAAGAGTCATCAATTGACTGAAGCTGAAATCGCTACACATGTTTATGAAGTCAGTCGCGTCTGATGAAAATGGGTGACTGTAAGCATGCAAGCCAGTCCAGACTATATTTGGGTAGTTGAAGTCACCTAAAAGAATGATCGGAACGGAAGGAAAGCGTATTATTAATGAGTTTTGGCCCTATTTGGGAATCTTGTGGCGGAGCTATCTCCCGTGCCGCGGGAGGGTGAGGTTGCAGGGCGTCTCACCTTTGCCGGTGGTGGAGCGACGTCCCGAGGAGTCCTTGCATTCAGGGCAGCAGCTGGGGAAGCGCCGTCCGTCTCCGGGCCGCCTGGACCATCCGCCGCGCCCAGCAAGGAACCGAGAAGAAACAGAGGCCAAAGCTCAGGCGACGGGAACAACCACAGGGGCACCTTCACCGCGGAGACAGGAGGTTTAAAGAATTGTAATCAGTGAGAGAGTGCAGGCGAGCTGGTAATTAATCGACATCTTGTAAACCCTGAGATGGGGAACGGTAAAAAAACGGACGAAACACAACAAAATCTCAAAAAGAGATTTTGTTGTGTTCGTCCATTTTTTTTTATCGTTCCCCATCTCAGGGTTTACAAGATGTCGTTTAAAGGAGTTCATTTTAGCGAACGAACCCAGTGTATCAACTCGCCTCATAGACAAACTCTTTTTAAAATGGCGATGAGCCTCCTTTTAGCGAATTCGGCCACAGTTTTGTAATGAACCGCTGGAGACTGTCCCTGCGGTGATAAGCCCCACTGATAAACGCGCGAAGTAGGCAGCCTTTTTTTTAAGCAGCGCCCCCTTCTCGATAAACGGAATTTCTCTAAACTGAGGCTCCGTTTTCTATACATCCAGCTTCGATAAAACGTGCCCGTTTTCTAAAACGGGTTTCGAAGAAATGGCGTTCGATCAACCATAGTGAATCTCATTGAGGAACTTGCAGATCCACAAGCACACAGAGCGCGACAAGGTAACCAAAAAGACAGAATCAACGGCTTCTGCATTTCTTTTATTTTTTTTTTATTTTTTAAATGCATTAGCATTAGTGCCCGGGTACATGCCCTCACCTTCGACTGGTTTGGAGCACACATGTCTAAAGTTCGCAACGTCGCCACGGGGTGACGCCACAGCTCCAAACTGGCTAGGAAGCGCATTCTGCAAGCGTTCGAAAGGCTTGGCGATAGGACGCACAGCAACGGAGGCCACACAGTATTGGCTGGTTATCGGGAGCGAGGCTGGTGTCCAATCAGTGAGGAGACCAGCGCTGCGTCGGTGTTCGGCTGGCAGTCGGTCTGTCGACTTTTGTCCTTGGTTGAAGACCGGATGTGGTTAGGTGCCAGCCAGGGCCGACACTAAGGGTCGGCCCTGGCTAGCATCTAACCACTAGCCGCGTGTTTACTAACAACGGAATGTCTGCGTTAAAAAGAACGGCTATTCACTGGTATCGCCGTACACCAAAACGGAGCAAATCAACCCGTCACACGAGTCCGTCTTCTCCGCGCTACGGTGCATTCACGCGGCGCTCAACAAACAGCTCTTTCATCGGCCACGCAGCAGCCAAGAGCGGAGCGCTCGCCGTCTCATCGGACCCGAGCCACCCGACGGGGGAGACCACACAGCGAAGAAGCGGCCTCTTTTCTTTTGCCATCCGCCGAGGCCCCGAGTAATAAAATTACACGGTTCGGCCGGGGAAGGGCGGCGCGCGGCAGCCGGGCAATCGGCCGGGATTGCCCTCGGGTGGCGGCAGCCACATTAGGCCTAACAAGTGGGGGACGCGCTTCGGTCCAACCGCGATCGCTGCCTGCCTGCCCGCCCCGACTGCGCTCTTTGAGCAACCCCGAGTCGACAGTGGAGCGGAAGCCAAGCGTGACGACCTCTACCAATCAACCGTCGATCCAGTGCCACGTGACTGTGCTTTCCTCCGACAAATTCATGCGGGGAGAGCGGTGTCTCGTGGCGCACAAGCCGGTAAATGATTGGTCCAACTTATGTGTTGCCTCGGCTCCACTGTCGGCCCGTGGACAGAGCGTGTACGCCGGGCCTATGGCAGAAGCTGAGGAGAGCCGTGAGGAGGAACATTTCTTCTTTTATTACCCCCTCCCTCTGAATATTTCCCACGCGGTGTTTGCGACGCCGCGACTGACGTCGACAGACGGCCAGATGAAGCAGACTGCGCACGCACGTCGGGGACTGCATGATGCGGACGTATCCTCCCCGAAATCGGGAAATGGGGTGGGCGAGAAGAGGAGACAAAGTGGGGGCCTTCGGACACAAGTGATCGCAACATCACAACTACGCGAAAGCCGTGGGAAACTGCGCCGATCATGGATTCTGCGTCGTGTCCTTGGACGCTTTTAGTTCTGTAGAAACAAGAAATGTATTAACACCTATCTACCTTGTATTTTGTCTCTGGGTCAGCGTTTGTGTCGCCGCGTTTTATTTGTATGCGTGTTCACGAGTCTCATCAGGACGCAAACTTGCACGTTTAAAAGATTCTTTCACAGTTGTTCGGTGTAGCTCGCATAAAACTCGATAAGCGCAGATTTTTTCCTACCACCTCAAGCCCGTGACATCGTGACACCGAGGCCCCATCTCCTCTGAGCGGTGCGGGGATGATTGGTCAGCCCCGGGAATGTCTGATCCCTCATTTACTGGCCTCTAGTTCCCCTTCTAAGGGGTGGTTGACACTCACACACTTTAAGCCGCGGTCACACTGACATCCGACAAAATGAAGTTGCAGACACTGTCTGGCGCATGTTTCTTCCTTGTATAACGGTCACATTGGTCCTACCATAGCCTCCTCTATACTGACAAAGCCTGGCAGATCGCCACAAGAAGCGGCCGCCGAAATGGAAAAGGTGCAGCGGCAGACAACGGAAGAGAGGAGAGCCGCGTGACGGGCGCCCCGCTGCGGCGAGACGCCGAAACACATTTCTCTCGAGCGAACGAGTGTTTCGCCGCTGCAAAAGCTGTGCGCTGACGTCCAGGCTTCCCGCGCAATGGCTCTTTGATGCTCTGTGCTACCAGATCCTCGCGCTTCAAATCTGCGACCGGACACTCTATGGCTCCGTCGTCGAACTACCAGGCTTCGTGAGTATAGAGGAGGCTTATGGTCGTACAAACACTGTCTGCGGACACGTTCGAAGCATGCATTTCGTATGGCATGCTTGGAACATGCGTGAGGCCCGTCTGCTCAAGTCATCGTCTCTGCGGACCGTGTCTTCTGCATGATGCAGTGCTCCTCGGACCAGTCCTACTTTATCTTTGGCCACGTGATCAGGCACCCGCCCGTACCCACGCACAGACGGCGGGGTCACGTGATGAACAAGAGGCACATGATTGGTCCGGCGGGCTCACAGCTCCCAAGGCATTGTCAGCTTAGGACGAGGCCACTCCGTACGGGGCAGTTCCGACGACCGAGGCTTTTGGTTGGGCGCTCGGAAATTGCATTTGTAGAGGCATTTGCTTTGTTTTTAATCTCGATTTCGAGTAAGTGGCAACGATACTTTCAACAAACGGAAGAGTTTGTTGTCAAACTCCGTTCTCCGAGTTTTTTTTTTTTTTTTTAGAGCGCAGCTTTTAGGCGCTTGTTTCCGGCTTCAGCGGCGTCGCCGTCGCCGTAACCACGCGGTGCATTATGGGAAACGTCCCATAATGAACCGCGGTGACGCGCGCGTTGCATTATGGGACGTTTCCCATGATGCACCACACGGGAGGGAGGAGGAGGGCGAGGGGGAAGGAGAAGGAGACAGGATGATGAGGAGGGAGGAGCAAGAGGGAGGAGGAGGAGGCAAGGAGCACGGGAGGAGTAGATGAGGAGAGGGGAGGAGAGGGTACGGATGAGGAGGGGGGCATACCGTGCCCCCCGTACCCTCCCCTCCTCCTCGTCAAGAGCTGCGCTCTAATTCGCATTACAGAAAGTTGTAAACGTCTTTCAATTTTTTTTTATCGTTTGTTATGCTTACAACGCGCTCTCACCATTCAACAAGCGCCCAAACAAGTGAGGTTCTTTAACTTTCGAATCTAACCATTTTTGAGAACCGCTCATTTTGCCCAAAATCGCAATATTAAATGCCACTTACTTTATGAAGTAAGCGTACCATTTAAAGTCTAGGGAATGCAAAATGGAATAAAACGGCAATATCAAATACGAACAAAGACGCGCCATTAAATAATAAAGTTCGATGGAATATCTCTCGGAGAAATCTAGGTACACGCACAAGGAAGGCAAAGCGAGCAAACTCTCATTTCACACCTTTCGCGCGAAATCCCATTGCGTAAAAATATATTTAATACGACGCAAATAAAATAATACCATATCATTTAAACTGTTTTAATGTTGGAAAACACTTCTCCGGGAATAACGGGGAAAATGCGATAAAAGATGCTGGCGACACGGGCATTTTGCGATATAAATTACTAATAAACGAAACACAAAAATGACAATTACGCTCTTTTTTAAACGCGCCAGCTGCGCAGGAGCGTGCGGTGCTTGACTTCTCGGATGCATCCGGGCGCTCTCTCGTGGATTGCGAGTGACTCGCCGATCGGTGCAGGTTCGCGCATTCCTGCCCTAGTAATTTGACGCGCCATGCCCTAGGACCGGTGCGAAGCCTTCTCTCTCAAATACAAAACGAGCGTGTTGGTAACAGTAATTAAACGCGAGGAAGATGCATAGAAAGGGGAGAAGGACAACAATTTACATCCTCTCAAGCTTAGCCCACTGTTCTTCTTCATTCGCTTTCTCGGGAGAGTGTTCGATGATGCCAAGCCGATGAACCTAGCTTTGCTTTCTACATACGTATGCTTGGAGCATGTCTGCGGACAGTGTTTGTACGACCAATCTGACCGTCATCCTATAAGGAACAAACGGGCCTCAAACAGTCTGTCTTTTGTTCGATGAATTAGCAGTATGCCCGAAGCTTATGTCTTGAAAACCCCAAAGACCTCGATTCAATCGCTAGCACCGCGTTCTGGTGGGGTCGGAGCCCTGGGTCCTGCATTGTTCCAATTTTGGCGGTACGAAAAAGAGGGTTCGTTTTTTTTTTCTTCCGAGTGAAATCAGAATAGCCCTCGGGCACGTGTACACGACAAGCGCGAAGACATAGCGTAGATATACAGTGGGATATAAAGACAAATAACACCAACTCAAAAATCATGCACGAGCACGCAAAAAAAAAAAGTAAAAAAGAGGACAGTAGATAGGCTTAGCATTTGCTCTAGTTATTACGAGGCTGAGTTCTCGGTGAATGAAAACAAGGAACGTCAATCTACTTTCCGTTCCATAGAAAATCGCGACATGCCTCCATTCCAGTTAAC